ATAAAAAAAACACAGTATTCCAAAAATATATCAAAATGTAATTCTAAGTTTTTTTAAAAACACCTTTAAGTGCTATTTGCTAAAACGAAATAAATTTTGTCGCCATGAATTAATTTTTATACTTTGAAATGTATTTTGAATTAGAAAGGCATTTGTAATAAATTGAAAATATTACATTTAAAAGGAGTTTAACTACACTTGTTTATTTAGCATTTAAATTTTTTGTGAAATTTTAAATAAATTAGTTTGCATTGCGTGCTGGCGTGAAAACAGAAAAGTGGTTTGCAAATGACAAGTTAAATTAGCAGCTATTACAATTCAAGGTCACTTTTATTTCTGAAAATTGTCAAAAGTCAAATTATGTATTATTTATGAAGCGTTCAGTTGAAGTTTGGCCAGTATTCGATTCATATGAGTAAATAATTAAAATTATATCTTTATGCTTAACTTTACGGTTGAATTATTCGTTTCAAGGTTGTATGAACCACTCTCCCGATCTTATGATTGAGAGATCAAAGCACATCTTGAACATTATTGCAGAGCATAAATTATTAAATATCACAAAGGCAACTAAAAATAAACGCTATTCATCAAGAAAAAAATTAAGTTGCATTTAAAAATAGCAGACAAGACTTTTGAATGAAGAATAAATGCTTGTAAAGGACGACCATTGCTCTAAACCACCGTAACTTATAACAACGCCAAGGTGAGAAACATTCTTTCTCGTAACAAAAATTGGCTTGACGAAAAAGTCATTTTGTTCCCCCTTTTTCAGCAGGTAGAAACCTGAGATCAGAATTTTGGTGTTTTATTCAAAAGTACCTGCTCAAAACATTCCTTTTTCTCCAACCTACTTAGTTATTTGTTTGCAACATGTAGCAACAAGAAGTGAACTTGGCAAATTTTTGCCTCCAAAAGACTGTAACTAATGCGTCTGAAATCTAACTGAAATCTAACTCATTCAAAATGTTTAAAGTAAATCTTTGCTAAAGCTCTAACAAATGACAGTACTCATCATGTTTGATTCAATAAGAGATAGTGATGCATATTGAATGTAGTGGTTTTGTAATTAGAATTTTGAGAAAAATCCCCACCGGGGTTCAGTAAGAGCGTGAGCAGACAATGTATTTGTTTTAAGACTGTCTCCTGGAAATTTGTGAGATCCCACGAATCAACAAATTATTGAACTATTTGTAGAATGTAAATAAATATGTTTTTAATACCCCCCCATTTGGTTTGGAAACGCTTAACACAGTAAACAATCTAATGAACACCTCAAGTCTAAAATTCAAATCATCTGTTTCTTAATTTCAACTACGATTATTGTGATGTATCCAGCAGTTCTTTCAAGGCCCTATATTCTAATTCCTTAATATTTTCTCGAAACACCCTTCATTCTCTCTTTAAACGTCACAATAGTTGCGATACTCGATGCTTCTCTTCGCCATTATCAGAGTTTTTTTTCGATTATAGCGCCAATGACCCCAACGTTGATATTAATTATATTAAAAGTACAAACAAGAAAGAAATTATTGCATTTTAGTTAGTAGTGTGAAATCAACTTATTAACGGAATTTGACACCTGTTGAGAAATTATCCACAAACCAAAGACTGAAGAATTATTTGATGTTACCTCTGGGAATAGATTGTGGCAGTAAAGTGTTCGAAAAAAACACAAATATACTCATTTTGCTCATTTCTAAGTGTGCATTTAAAGGCCTTTTTTTCTCCTTAACAGCAATTCCTGTCCAACGCAAAGAATGTAAATCCTGAATGCCTAATGCGTCTGGTACTATTGTCATTGTAATTACCTTCTTACTTGGGCAATATATAGGTGGTTCTGGTATTTTAAGTTCATCTTAGCGTTCGAAAGAAAACCCTCCATGAAAGAAACCTACTACATTTAGACGTGTGTCTGTTGGTAAATATTCACCCTCCTAAAAGGTATTTTTTTACTGGTCGTACCATCCGCGTGGGTAAAGCAATAATGAACGAATTGTTCACCCACGAATTCATCCAAGAACTGTCTGATTTAAACAAAGGGGTCCCCTTTGGTCTGACGCGGTTCTTTCAACAGATGTGAATGAACGACAAACTAAAAGTCATTTTCATCGCACATTTAAATACTTTTGAATTTAAAATTCATTAAAATCTAAAATTTTTAAAGAAAACCCTCAAGTAAGACAATGACTCGTATTTTATTGCCTTTGTGCGAGGATGTCAAATCATACTAAGCGCTTTATAGCAGCATTAGCACATGCAAACGCTGTAGGGTGCTTGTGCACACAACGATCTTTAAGTAACCACCCATTGGTTGTGGGCTTGCATTGAAAAAAATAACACATGTAAAAGTCAACCGCACAGAAATAGGGAACTCTGTGAAGAAAAATATTAGTTAATGAATAAATGTTGACGAAGTATAAATATTAGTGATTGGCAAACAAGAATCCTAAATCAGCAGTAACGAGACCAATAACAGTCAAGGGGACAAATAAGAAAACTGCATTAATTAAATTCGGCTATTGAATATGGTGTAGAATTCAATTTACCCCCGAGAGATCGCCATTTTCACTTCTCCTTTAAACAAGGTGAGTGTTGAAAGGAAAATATTTGATAGTTTTGGAAATAAAAAATGGTAACTTAAGACTATCAGTTAAGTCCACACCAGGCTGCCACAACTTTTAGGGAAAGAATCAAGCAAAGCATGAAAAAGGTAGGAAACCTCTGAATGCTTGCTATAGAATAGCCAAAAAACCATTCTTCCCATAGCTAGTGCACTTGAAAGTGCTCAAATAGAAGGGACTGATGAGAAGAGAGAATAGGTGGTTTCGGAAAATAGATAAGAATGGTTCAATAGAAAGCGATACAAAAATGGGAATTATTAGTTTATTCAAGTTATTTCAATTCCTTATTGACTTTAAGACCACTTCAGAATTTGAGGTTATAAATTCTGGCCTTAATTGATTTGAGCCTCTATAGCTCCAATTTTGTTCCAATGTGAGACTATTTGAAAATGCCGCCCTTTATGGATGTGTACCTAGTCCATTAACAATTAATTGTGGACAAAATTGGACCTTCAGCGGAGGAAGAGAGAATTACATTGCGTTGAAAACTGGCTGCGACATAATAGTTACGATGGAAAAATTTTGTGCCCGACTTCTTAAAACTCGACAAATATCAAAGTACTAACTAAATTCCCTTTCATGATTACTTTTAGGAGCCTTTATCGAGAAAAGTTACTCGAAAATGACATCAAAATCAATTTCCAAAGAAATATGAATCATATGTATTTAAAAGTAAGCCATTTTGCATCTTAGAGAGTGCCGTGAGTCTGCGGAGTGAACTGTGCAGAAACAACCTTAGTAACTCCAAATCCCCCCCCCCTCCTTATTCTTGCATCAATTTTACAGTTTCTGTTTGTCCTCAATTACGAATGCATATCATAGCCTTATTAACTGAAACCACATGAATACGCATAAATTATATATCTCCCTCAAGAACTTTACACACCACGACAAATTTTACACGTCACGTGAAATGTAATTGTTGTAAAATTGCAAAATGTAAACGAAAATCCGCAAACAGAAATATAACTAGTATTAAATACAAAAGCGTAAAGTATCCACCAACGATTTAAACCATTACGATGTCGAGGGGGGTGGTGGGGGGGGGGGGGGGGAACATTAGCAGTATTGTCTTACCCCCTCCCCCCTCCCCACCTAACCGGAAATGCGCTTTTGCTAATTATCACCTCAAAGCATCAAAAAGTAGACATGACTAGCGTCGAGTGATACAAGGAAAACAGGTACACTTAATATGCTGGAGAAATAAACCATAGATGAAACATTGAAACATTCAAGCTATTTCATTGCCTCGAATTACTCCTTCTGTAAAGCTATGACCATAAAACATGAATACATGTGCACAAATGAAATTCTAGAGGAGGGTATGAATAAATTGAACTCTAGTAGTAGGTATTAAACACCCCTCAAATAAGACATCATGCGCAAAAGCGTAGGTACTAAAATTTATTAGCCTAAATGTAAGAATTCAAAGATGATCCAAAAAAATTTCACCTACAACCTTTGAGAATGATATAAAAGTAAAAACCCTGCATGGAAAGCTAGTTGCACACACTTTATAAGCTAACTTTCTCTTTCACAGAAGGCCTTTGAATGTTGTTTCCATTGCAAGTTAATGAAAAACAAGAAGAAGGCAACTTTTGCAATTGTGTTTTCTACTTCCTTCAAAAGCAGTCTGTTAAGAAATAACAACTTGAGCAATTAATCACGGAGTAATAACAAGTTTGAGTGGAATGGTGAATCGAGTTATGCTCAATTAAGTCCCACCCTTTTAAAGCTTACAATAAAAGGTCAACTGAAAGAGTACTCAGATAACTAACGACTTATTTAGTAAACCAGAAAAATTCCTACTTCTGACTTGCTTGAATCTATTATGATAGCCTTGCTCGAGATTTAAAGCCTCTCATTAACAGGTCTTCAATCTATTTGATATTTCAAGAGTAGGATTTCATACGATCCTTAAGACAAGGTTGCAGTAAACATTTAAAGAGAGTGTAGAAATGATGAAAAAAATCAATTATGTATTTAATACGTACTAAAGTTAATTAAGTGAATTTCACAAATACTCAAGATGACCCTCAAAATAGTTAATCAGAATGTGAAACTTTTCAAAAATGGCAGGTGTTTGACGAGAACTGAGGTAATTTCGTTTCCGAAATGAAGATACTTAATTAGAACCAAGGATGATGAGATTAGCAAATACTAGGATGATGCCGGAATATATAATTTTGGACAATTCGGAAAAAAAGATTTTGAGACGTTTAAAACGAGAAAGGGATAGGCAAATATTTATCGAGAACAAAATCCTTTTGTGGAATTCAGAGCCAAAATAAGACAAATATAGAATCGTATTGATCTGATCCAAGTAAAGGCATGAAATCATGTCTTGATGTTGCTGAAGAATTACAATTAAACTGGTCAGTGTTCATCCTGGTACCTGAAAAATAAACTCCAATTCGCTATATTTATATCTCTAATGGCTGACCTAAAAATGCTGAAATTACGTTAATATTAAAATTAAAGATCTATTAGATATGAAACTTATTTCATGACTTCATTTAACGTGATCATTAGAATAGACTTGAAAAATGCATATCAAACAATGGTATTCTAGAATGGAACATAATTTATATAACAGAAAAAAATGGTACATGAGTTCGCGAATTCATTTTTTAGAAGAAATAATTCCACAAGCTCTTCAGCGGCCTTAAATTACCTTGAACAGTAAAAAATCAATCACATAGAACATTTTCAAGCTACTTATTGGTCCTAATATTCTGTGCAAATTTATCATGTCCATTAAGGACCGTTATCGACAGAACAAAGTTTAGAAATGCGGAGGGCAGCCTTGAACTATGAAAAAAAATTAGAGCCTACCCTCTCGTGAGCCTCTCTTTATCTAAAGTTATTTTTAATCCCTGCTTCAAAATTGTTCATCTTCGGCTTTATTTCAAATGAGGACATTTGTTTTAAACTTGAACCGCTTTAAAAGTTGCTTGGCGATTAGCAATTAGAAGTGGTTTTCATCTCTTACAGCAAGGGGTGTGCGATAGACATACCTCCACGTGGTGCAGTTTTTTTTTGCCTTGATGCTCCTCTCCCTCTGTGAAGCCTGAAGTCAACTAAAGGGCTAATGATAACTATCATAAAACCTGCCATTTGATATAAATATCTCTTACAGCAAAGTGTTCAGCGTAATATTATTTGGTGAGCTAAGGTGATAGGAGATCTCGAGTTTTAAAAGTAAGAGCAACAGAAGGAATTCAAAAGAAGCACTCACCAATTCAATGACTAAACGTCGAAGAAATTGCCTCTGCTTGAGAGTCAAGTTTGGAAAAATATCACAGCCAGGGTCGTTCAGAAGCTTGAAAGCCACAGAAAGATGGTGGTTCTCCAGAACTGAGGCGTCGTTATATAGGAGAGCCAATTTGTGACCTATAAAATATGATAAATACAACTTTTAACAGCGATACGACCACTAAGACGGAAATCATCACGTTATTGGCTACCATTAAATAGATTTAGAGCAAAGCAGCAACGAGGCATTAAGAAGATGCACAGCGCAAATGAACAACTCACCTTCACCTAATATGAGTAATCAAACTAAATATTTCATTACAACAGCGTTTTTTCCGCTTAGTTTTAACATCTTGACTGGTACCAACTGACCTACCAAAGACTTTAAAAAGGGTAAATTCGCAGGGATGACATTTTAAACTACCAGGCTGATAAATCTGGCGGCCAGCTGCACTTTCGCAGAGATTAGAATCAGTTTTCTTCTGCGTGTAATGTAAATGAAATACACAGATCACGAGATACGAAAGCATTTTTGCCTATTCTGTAGCTAAAAATCGATAACTTCTTCCCCCATGACATTTTACCTCCTTATCTTCGAAATATTGCGTCGGTTTAACATTTAACTACGCTTATTACCAATCGTAAGCATATCATGCGCACTATATTACAGAATATCAAATTTAACACCAATTATTCATTGTAAACCTGATCCTTCATTGCGTATATATGAGATCAAGACATTCGTATGGAAAGAAATTCATGCGTAGTTTAGAAGTTGATGAGGCAATAAATTTAAACTTAAAAAGGAAAAAAAGATTTACCTGTGTTGACTAAAAATTGATTTGTTAGACCGGGGTGGTGTACATCGTGGATGGCTGAGGCGAAAATCGATGCGAGGATTTCTATGTCGCTGAAGACATTCTAAAATAAAGAAAAAGTACATTTAAGGTTAAAACTGCCGGCAGATCAGCCTACATGGCCCAAATGGCATTGCTTTTAAATTATGAAGGAACTATTCAGACAATTAAATCTATGACCAACAAATGATAATGTATGTCAATTTAAAAATGATAAAATATACTAAAACTTGGTGATTGCATAAAATAAATGGATATGATTATACGACTAATGGTGAGAAAAGACTTGAATAAAACGAAAGTCGGTAGAAACAAACTTTCTAATGGTTGGTTATGAAACCTCTGATTTTTGAACCATTGAAATAATTTGAGAACATTTCCTCGGTGTGCACATTCTGTGTTTAAAAGGCTCTTATCAGCCGGAAATGTTGTGAAATTACCAAAATCGAAATCCCAGAAGAGAATTCTTAAAAAATAAGCCCGATTCGGTAATAATACATTTTTTTCCGCCAAAACAATGGACGAAGAATTTACTTCTATCAACCTGAGGCAATTTAATGAATTGTAGAAATACGTATTAAAAAATTAAGCCGACGGTTTTTAGTGGATCAATGCAAGTTTGAAATTCTATTAGCACTGGCGGTTTCCGTCCAGTAGAAAGACAAATTTGACCATCCAATGTCCAATTAATGTGTAAGCTTCCCGAGGATAATTGATATAATTCAGCAACAAACTATAAGCTCTTTTTTAAGCACAGGGAATTGTAGCAGATACTAGCCTCCTTCTCTTGACTTAAATACTTTACGAAATTTTACGCAGAAATCTCTACCACCCGGACAATAGAAATCTGCTTTTGACTGGCCCAAAAAAGTCACTTCTCTTGAAGAATTCATGTTTGTTCGTATTCTCGCACCCAAGACTAATCAGCGTATAGCTTAATAAAACATGAGTTGAAACTGGTACAGGCAGTAGTCAAATTTGCTGCTTTAATCTGAAGATAGAGAAGTGGTTAAAATTTTCTGCTTTATTCAAGCATTGTAATTTTCTGTTAAAGAGCTTTTTTCCTACGGAGGCAAACAAATACCAGATAATTAAGTCTAACGCGATTGTGCTTGTTTTTTCCCGAATTAAAAGAATATTTAAAAAAAACAACTAATTGACATTAAACCGATTTCAATACACAAATTTCCCCCTACTGCCACTCTTCTTCGCACTACTAAACAAAATAAAAGTTTCCTATATGCAGACCTTATTGTCCACAAAAACACTACAGGATTTTAGGGAAAACGATCATCGACGATGATTTTCGCTGAAATGCCTCGTTATGATATCAAAGTTTTTTTGCACTTTGGATCTTAATAAATCACGAAAATCAAGATAATATTAAGTAGCTGTCGGATCCATCATCGAATCGTTAAGTCACACGAGTAAGTATTATAATTTTATGCTTTGCAACATCAGAGAATGAGACCGAAAGTAGGACGGAAGGACGAAAACGATACTTTGAACTGGTTTACTGGCACTCCGAATCGGGTGGAATAAAAAAGTAATGGTCTAAATATTCAGCACAATTTTGATATTAAAGGACTTCATATTGAAACTAAATAGTATGCTTTTTGGAGATCACAATTTTAGTTTTGATTTCTATGAAGTCAAAGATAAGAAACTGCGAAGGTAAACACAATGGTAATTTTGATGCCACTAACGAATAGAACAAGAGCATCTCATTCTTTAATCCCAACAATTGCATTTCTTATGATTTTGATAATTTAAATCAGCAGGTCAGGAGAAACACGTACCATTATTGGTTGGCAATTAAATTATATATGCATCTGACTGATCGTCAAGTTTGATCAGTTTATCAATAAGCTCCGAGCATAGAGAGCATAAATACGCCTTCCGGAGTGTAGAGGGAACACAAATGAAACTGTGCATTAATGTCAGTCACTTAACAAACCAATCTTATTAGCTGAAATATAATGTGGGTGCTTTTTGAGTACTCTCCAGCACTAGCAAATGGAATCATTTCTTTACTTTTCCCTGTGAAAAGGAAAAATGTGGTTGTTTCAGATAATTGGTACTTAAAGGAAAAGTTAGGAGCTATCCAATGACATTCCATTTGAAATTAACTTCTCCTAAAGCTCTACAAAGTGCTAGAAACCATTGATTTGGCAGTCTATGCCAAAAAGATAATAAAACAAAATTAAGACAACTTGTAGTTCCCTCAATTCACTATAATCAGAAAAGTTGTGGGTGAAAATTAAGTGAAGAAAAAGGTTTTTTTGTTATAAATTAACCAGCTATTTTTTTGAAGACCGAATTTCGAATTTCGCTAAAAATTGTGATCTAAGGAATTCAGACTTCAAAAGAAAGATTGTGAAAATCTATTGATTTAGGAGCTCAGTCGACTTAAATCTCTCATTTTTTTTAAATTTCTTTTCATCAATCACTCTTCCTTTGAAATTATTTTTTTTCAAATGTGATGTGTACATAAACTTATTTGCTATTTAAAAACAATGGCAATTTCTATATGAAACTTTAATATCGTTGATTTATTATAATTGGAAAGAGGTGCATATTTTTACCAAAGTCTCATTCCTACTAAGATGTGTTACTGCTTCTCAAACAAACTTACCGCTAATGTCTCAGCTTGAAGAAGCACGTGGACAGCTTGGACAACATCGGCTGCGTGAATATGGTTGTGATAAGGGTTTGAACTGTGGTAGGCCGCTTCCAATCGAAGCATGTATGTTACAAAAGTAGAAGGGTTAATGCCAAAGGTTTGGAAAAGTCCTCGTTTCTGCCAAAGATGAAAAATCATAAGATTTACATAGGTACTTATGCCAAGGTTTTCCTACTTACTACGAAGTAAATAGTCCTCTCAACTTAATGAACTGTTAGTTTTGGCTTACCTAGACTTCTGCGATTTCTCTTATCCTGAATCACCAAACACTTTCCCAGTTTATTACTCTCCTCGCAGTATTTGTGCCAATGGTGCGTGACTAGCCAGAAAACTTATTTGCATCCTCTGAGTTCTATCTCCCGTATTGTGAAGTGTACACCCCCAATCCATCACGTTTTAAGCCAACTGGCTACACTGTTTCCGCTATCTATTCTACCTATATAAAACATTCTGCCTCCTAATATCATGGTAGGATCGCTCAGCAGCTATTCGTATCCAATAAACTGGACAACTGAATAGAATAATATACGCTCTCAGATATTATCTAGCTTTAATTACGTCAAACTCCTATTCTTTTAAATTTTTATCAAATTAGTCACAAAACGAATTTCTCAATGGCTACAAGAATCGTATAATACTTGAAATGAGTGTCTATAAGGCCAGGTCTGTCAGGGCGAATACTCATGAGTGTACACAGAGGTGCAAAAGTCATATCTTCTCACCTAGATGGCGTTATGGCATCACTTCTCTACTTCAAAGTAGTGAAAACAAAGTGCTTTCTTCATTGGGGTACATCCAATCTTACAATTTATTCAAAATAACACGCAATCAAAATTGTAACTTTAATCAAGTGATTGAACTCACCGAGAAGACCCTATAGGTTACCACTGTGAGGGCATGTTGACCCGATAGACTGTCGATATCGAACATATTAATGTTCCAACTGTCCAAGGAAGCGTCCAACACCTGAAATAAAAAGGCAAATACTCCAACTATCATACGCCAAGTGTGCTGTCTCTTAAATACTTCTTGGTAAAAAATTTTTTGCAGCTCATTTGGGGGTGGAGTGGGGTGGAGGGTTCTTAGATGTGATCGAAGTACTTATTATAAATAATAAATGTTAGATCTTGCTTCAAATTTTTTTAACTTAGATATAGCCTATGAGGTCACGGACTTCCTGTGAAATATTGCTGCATTTGATCGTTAAGCAGCATCACACTTGATCCCCAAAGTAAATAACCGACATATTTAATGTCTTCATTTGCACATTTAGCGTATTTTATTCCCCTTGACTGATAATAGAACCAAAAGCTAAAAAATCGATCAATATAGGTGTCCTTTAAGTACAAACTTTAAAAGCACGTATTAATTAACAGAAGGAATGAAATAATGCAACAGGTTGAAATAACCAGTCACTCGTGTCAAGTTTTATAAAATTTTATTATTTTTGACCTAACTCTGTGGTGCCTGCTTTTTAATTCTTCGTGTTTATTTTGTGCTTTCTACTAATGAAAAGATTAAAAATTTGCTTGGCTAATCAAGTTAAAACAGCTTTATGAGACAAAATGCATTTGAATCTCTCATAAACCTTCTCATGGCTTTAAGAAGATGTAATTAAATCTGTGACACAATCAATCATAAGGTATGGAATCATTCAAAAGCTTGAAGTTTAATTGAGGAAAATTGAGCTTCAAAATATGTGGCTACTATGCAATGAATTGCGCCCTCTATAAGAAAATGGACAAATCGATTCTTTAGAATTTCGCCAACACAAGAGCTTTGAAAACCCGACCTCAATTTTCCCAAAAACTCGACTTTCTCTTCTTCTCTTACTGAACTCGCCCAGTTATTTCGCTTATTGTATGGAAACTAATTGTTAGTCAAAACTAGTTAATCATTATTTGCACATCTGAATAACCCAAATTTCTATAAAATGCTCTTTGAAAGAAATATTAAACCCAGAAAAGGTGGAAGTTTAAACCAATAACTGAACACTTATTGTACATTTTTCTCACATTTTCATTAAAAACTCAATTGTTGAGTGATTTATTTTTTTGAAATACGCCTAAACATTGCAGCGAATGAACACGAGTTGACGTTCCTGGATTGACGACAATGACTTGTGCAAAAAAAGTCCACCCACTTTGATCGCTTTAAGTGCCTTGAACAAATTTTTTTTGAGAATAAATGAACAAATTAATGATAATTTTTTATTTTAAATTCATATTGAATGGCTGGAAATTTTTGTTACTTTTTTGCTTTCATGATACATGGTGAAGTTATAATAAGATTTATTTTTTGACAAAACAGATTTAAATTAATTGGGATCATATTATCCACAAAGACATAAAAAATATTTGCATAGCTTATTTTAGAAGCTAAACAGATATTGAAATGGCTCGAAAATAGTTGGTTTCGTAATTACTGGTAAAACAAAATTTCAGCGTCCGCTTTTTAGGCATAAGTGTATCAAACGCTAAAATTAAATAATTGCATTTTTCGACTAAATTAATTAGATAGAGCCAGTTAGAAGTCCACTCTATCAATAACTCGTGCATTAGCGGTTAATTAAAAATAATCAAGATAGCCCTTGAGACACGATATGCATCTTAACTGGATTCCAGTATGAATAAATCGAAAGCAAAATATTTCTATCAATCTGAATTTCATTGAATGCTTGTAATATACTATTTAATATAGGGAAAAAATAACTACACCCTCTTATTTTTTTGCGGGGTATTTAACAAAGGCAGAGTAGATTGAGTACTACTTAAATTGAGTAATCACTTAAATATTAAGAGTATTCAATACCCAGTTTATTACTCAAGGGACGAAGGAAGAACAATCAATTCAATTTGTAAATCCTCAAGGGGCGGCCATGGAAAGTTTAAAAAGTCAAATCATTGCTGATAAAGAAACAAAGTTATACTATGGAATAATCTCAACTAATTTCTTTCAAAATGCTACCTTAACGCAAATAAACTAGTATTGGGAAACTGCTTTAATTTAAAAGAAAGAATAAAATACAGTGAAATGGTTCAAGAAATGTAAGCATGGATAGTTAATTCGTCTCAACAACTTAAGATTTGTTGCTTTTCGTTCTCTTAAGCCAAATCTTTGAGCTACTGAATACATCCTATTAAAACAAATGTAAGATTTGAATGCAAGTGGTAAGGCCAAATATTCCTGATTAAATAATCGGTCAATAAGCACTATGCTCTGTTGGCAAACATTTCCTACAATCTAAAGGAAACAAAGCAACAAATTGGCGTTTGGAAGCATGAATTACTAATTTAATCAATCCAAAATTCAAACAATCACTTTTTTTGTCACATCATGAAGTTGCTCTCAAAGTCCTTCTGACCTTCACCTCTTTATCAATTAAACCATCAGTTATTTGAAGTCCGTTGCTTCCAACAAAAATAATTAAGTTGGCAATGACAAATATTAATGTTTAATTTAATTGTTGACTTGAACTAATTTAGGAGCAGGTTCTGATGGGAAAATTTGATACTTTGCAGTGAATTAAATTCGCAAAATCACAGTCGGGAAGGTGGAAGTAAGTAGATATCTGAGGCCTTTTTCCTAGCAATATTAAATGTTAACTTCATATTTCCTTTTCACATATTTTAAAAATAATATTTAATTACAAAATCATCCAGCATTCATATAATGCATTAACTTTTAATTTTTTTCAAAGCAACTGGATACCGTTTATAGACTAAGATTTTTCTTCGCTTCCCCTCTCAACTGTCATTTCTTTATGATCAGTCCTGATTTATTACTGGGAGTTTAATTAAAATTTAGATGATGTGAGAATCTTTTAATGTACTGCGATCTCTGCCCTTGAGGGTTTTTGTGACGGAAAATTTAACAAATTTTAGATTCTCGATGGCTGGAAAATGGTTTCAAACGCACTTAGTTTTAATCTTATAATTTACTTTTTTTGTTGAACTCGAACCGCTCAGTGAAATCTAGATCGGTCCACTTTCAAGCTAGTTGTCACATTAAAGTGATCAAGCAATTTAATATACTTTCTAAAGAATAAACAAAATGTTCATTTATTGATTAATATTGTTTTTAGATTGTATAACCCTGTGGGACGATGTTAATATAAAACAATATCAAAATTAAACTCAATTTAGCTTAAAGTGCGCACAGCAAAAAGACGGCTACTTCGTTTTCCTCTACCCCTTAAGGTCAATGATCTTCCTCTTATATTCCGTAAATTCCCGCCCTTTAACCTCTCTCAAGTTTCTTCTAAGAAGTTCAATGATATATTTAAATTCAGACCACCCTTCTTGCAGAGGTTATGAAAGGATGAAATTAGGAAAGTTGAAAACAGAAATTATAGGGCGGTGACAAACGAAGTTTAAGACAAAATCCTTGTGGGATCAAGACAGGAGTCGAATCAAATTGGATGAGAAACATTATGGGTAAGTAGAGGAAAATAAACTTAAATGGAAACTTAACGATTCTCACTTATGATATATAGGTAATTTTAATCTTTTGGGCTTATAAATATTGAATAATCCATTCCAACTTTAACCTACTAAACCTACAATTCAGCTATCGAACATAATAACAAAATACGTGATTATAAATGTTAAAATTCGCTAGCAAATTAATCAATAACAAGTATCAAAACCTTCACTGTAGTCCAACAGAATGCTTTCAAATATTACTATCTACGAAAAGAGAGAGGGCTAGATGATTAGACATCACATAATAAATTAAACTTTTCCAGTTTCAATCACACTAGAGTCTAACCCTTAAGAAATTCTCCGATCATTTCACAATCAAGCAAACATATTAATCTAATGACTGAAGTACTCACTTTTCGCAAATTTTCATCATCCGGAGTTTTAATTCCAAAATAGGGAAGACTGTCGGTATCGCTACCTTGAATATCGTTTCCTGCATTTGCAATAGAAGCTTCCAATTTTGCCTCTGGATGATCGCCCTTGGAGGATGATTTCGAAAGTCGTAAATCCGCACCATCGACAGAGCATTCCAGTGAGTAGGCAGTCACATCTGTTCGTGAACCTTCCATGAGTTCACTGACTGTCGCCAAAGCATTTGAACTACTTCGACCGTCGTCCCCATCGTTATCATCGCGCTCAGAATACTCATCTTGTTGAGAAGAAAATAAATAAATATATATATATATATATATATTCAAAAGTAATATAAAACACAAATTTACAAATGTGGTGCTTGGAATGACGTATAAGTGAGTTTAAATAAGCATAAAGCAATCTACGAAATATATCCAAATTAAATATCTAATTCAACAGATCGCATATATTGTTATCAACTTGGATGTGAATAGGATATTTTCTAAGGCAAATGCAGTCTGGACGTGATCCAGGTGTTATATTACTCAAAACCGAAAGCAAACGTGTTTTCTAACTCTTTTTAATATCGTCTTTCATGGAATTGTCGTCTATTGTCTGCATAAAAGGATATAGTTGATCAAGTACAGCTACCCCCCTTCTTCCTTAGTCAGCATATGCAGCAGAAAAACAAGGTATTCCAAGGGAAGACTTCCACCCATCACAAAAAATTTTATTGTTTGATCGTTCCATTAGAGTGCTAACATTAGTATTAATTCCACTTCACCTTTTTAAAGAAACGGGCGGTATTAAAGCCCTTGTAAATCAATAACACGCAAGTGAGATAAATATGTTGATTTCTATTCAAAAAAATAGTAAGCACATGAATAAGATCATTGTGATTTAGCAGCAGAATTGAAAATCCCGCAGTAATGTCAAGACCTGATTATTAGGGGGGAGAGGGGGAAGAACAATTAGTAAAGAAAGGACTTAGGTTTAAAATTAACGAGGCTAAAATTCTGCTGGTGGACGGAAGATCGGATGGAAGCCTTTAATTAAAATTCCAAAAAAATTCATTGCCGCTAAGGAAATTAGAGACGAAATGCAAACAGTAGTTAAAGAAATGGTAACTGAAATGGATTACTCTGTATGAAATATTACACTGCCTCAACACACACTGGAGGTGAAAGTGCTTATTTATTTTTCACTTGTTTAAAAAACTTTTTTTTCAAATTCTATTTCCAAAGATAGCACTGAAACATGTTAAAAGTTCAAAGTCTTTCAAAATGATGATAACAGTGTTGAGCCTGCTTGAAATCAATTTTGTAGCTGATTCTAGGGTAAACCAACAAATTCGTCATCAATCTCATTGAGTAGTTGCATTCCATGATGCTGGACAGGCATATCATCAAATGGACCCCACTGAATATGATATTCCATTAGTAAAAGAAAAGCTTAAATCTCATAACCAACATATTATAGATTATTTCGTTATTTCCCACCTCAGAGCTATTGCCACTTTATGCGAATTTTACTATCCGATCTTGCAACTAGGACACGGAAACTAATCCCCCAACCCTGCGAATTTTATTTTTCGAAGGCAACCCTTTGTAAGTTTAATGAATAAACGCATTCAGGCATTTCCCCGCCGTTTCAATTAAGAGACAGGGCGACTGGTGGTACTAATCATTTCAGTTAAAAAGCTCGCTACCGGCGATATATTCAAGGAGTAATTTAAATACTCAACTTTTGGATGCAAAGCTTACAACTTAATTTCAAGCAAACTTATTAATCATAATAATTTTATATAGAAGAAGTCTTTAAGATTGGTATTCGATTAAATTTTATTACTTTTAAATAATATCACTATTAGCAACAAGGTAAAATTGAAAGGTCAAGTTAGAAATTAAATTAAGATTAAAAGCGAAATAGCAGATATGTGAGAAAATATTGAAAATGACAAGTCCTTATTCCTTTCCATTCACTATAATAGATGCAAATTATCCCAAAATTATCCAATGAAATTTAGTTTGGCTTATAATGTTAATTTACACCTCGTAATCAAGGAATTTCTCACCTATTTAATCAAATTTTTACATATTTTCTTGCTCTTAGTACATTTAATCCTCCTTTATGGGAATTCAAGAATCCATCCTAAGAAAAACCTCTAACTACCAATTAACTGAATGAGCATTTGAACATAAAAAACCTTTCGCTAATGCACACTAAGCTTTAAGTTGAAACGTGTCTACAACAGACATTGAGACGGCTAAGAACACGTTCATGTTATTGTTGTTGTTAAATTGTCAATTGTTCTTTTGAGGTGAAAAAGCACTAATGTGACAAATCTTTGTTGGCGCCACGGTGTAAAAAGTGCAAAAAATATTTTATACAAGGTAAATTCTCTACCAAAAGCATGTACTTCCATGTCACTTCAAATTAGTGACTAGGGGGGGAGGGGGTAGGTAGAATTATTTGACTGCAGGAAAGGAAAAGTAATGATATGCTGTAGCATAATCGGCAGACGTAAAGTATCAATTATGATCGTAAACAACTTTAATTTCCCTCAAAGACAATCAAGGAGCAGGCGACACTATAACTCCTAGCCAGTGTATTTCCAGCAATATATCGTTGGCATTTCTCTATCACATTTAACGTTTCATTTAATTATTTAATTTCGTATTATCAACTATAACCGAAAGTCGAGAAGGAGGTAATTAAGACTCCAAATTGATTTAGAGCGGACAAGTTATAACAAAATAAGTCTTTTTAATATGCGTTTTTTTGGCGATGTTCACAAGGGCCCACTATATTCCGACCCACAAGAATTTGTGTCTGTGATTAATCAAATGGAAGTGATTTAGTTCCAAGATGTAAGGAAAGAATAGAACAGTAGACGAAAATCTAGTGTTTCGATAGAATGTTAGAATGGCTGTTGAGGGCACGGAACAAATTTTCTTAGCTGTCTATTAGCCAGTGGAGTAAACACCTAATTTTTGTTTTATTCAAACATTCACCTAGAAATAGGTAAATTAGTCCCCTTGACGTGGTAATAGCACCTATCTATCTATCAAACCCGTTGGCTTGCAAATTCTGTGAACTAATTAGCATACGCCTTAATTTAGGTTATAAACGACCGGATGAGTGCCCCTGCCCATTGGAAGTGACAAAGTGGAATTCCTTTTGAAATGATTTCATGCATTATCGTCCACATCAATAGATTTGAAGTTAGTGAAAATATTAAAATGTGTACTCTTTTCGCATTAAAAATTCGACAGCATCAAATCTATCTGATTTAGATTCAAATGAACCATGCATGTACCGGAAATACCATTAACGCATTTGCGTTATTGGGTTTAAGCATACATAAATTTAAATCGCGAATATGCAACTAACCCATGAAGGTTTTGGAGATATACTCGGAGATTTGATTTTGGGCTTTGTCGGAGCTGCTATAGTTGCCGAGTTTTTGGCTTAACAGACGCTTGAACTAAATTGAAGAAAATAAAAATTCTGGTAATTAGAACTCTTAAAAAGAATATATATATATATATATATATATTCATTAAATCAAGAGGCAATTCATCAGATGGGAGTATTAGTAAAGACTTGTAATGGTTGAATAAAAGCTGGTTAGAGGTAGGGTTTAAGAAAATTAGCACTCTAAGTTATTGAAGGTTCAAAGCAATGGATGAGAGAGATGTGCGTGAATAGAACGTCTGAACCCAAATGAGCCGATTAGCTCAAATATAAACACTGAAGTGAATAAACCATGGGGCTCAGCCACTTTGTAAGGAGACACTAATTAGATGTGTTCGAATTGTGAAATTGTTTGAAAAAATATATCAAGAAACAAATCCATTGTTCAATACATACTATTTGAAAACAAATAGTTTTCAACACCGGTTTCTGCATCTCTTAGGTCTCTTGCAAAAGGACATTTGAAAGGAGAACTTCAAATGTATATCATCACATTCAAGAAGTCGGCAAGTGTCCAAAAGATGAAAGTTGATGAAGAACTTAAAAGTCTATTTTAAAGGGAGGGGGAATGGGGCGGGGGAATGGCGAAGGGTACACTAATTGCAGCTTGTTTTATGCAGACATTTATAGTCTGAAGCCCAAAACATCTCAACTTTACTTCCCCTCACCACTCAGTTCGCATAAACCGGCCACGCTTATTCAAATAATAACTTGGCATTTCACAATAAACGGACGTTCAAATTCCACAGTAATGGTTGTGCTTATTTTAGACTTTTGTTGCTTCATATAGTGCCAATCGTTAATGTTTAATGACTTCTTAGGTCAACAGTGCCAGATGTTGAGGCGAATCGAATCGTCTAATGAGAGGCATCAGAACATGAGTGGCAAACTTCACAAGATTAAAAGAGCTGAAATTTACCGCTTTCTTATTTTATTCTTCATTTTTATCAACTCAATTCCGAGCATGAAAGAAGCGCAGGGAATTCGAAGTATGTTCACTAACTTCGCTTTCATTTCATGTCAATTGGAATCAACCCTTGTTTTTTAGAGCTTTGGGAGTTGCACCATTTGTTGGGCTTACATATTCTTGTACCAACTATGAAAAAAAACTTTCTACAATGTGATGGTTAACTACCTCGAAACTAGAATGGACAATGGTATTTATCATACTCTTACAACTAAACAATGGGCGCTACCCTCGATACTTTTCAATACCAAACCGAAATTATTCGCTACTTACTATAAATAAGATTTCTCCGTTTGAATAATTTACTTGTTCTAGGACAAGTCACAAAATAGTAGCCTAGTATGCAAATTGTTTCTGTTGATAAAGTGACGGGAACCGTTAAATATGAATTGCTATTTGACATCAATATCGGGGATATATCCTGCATACTGCGACTGAATGAAAGCAATTGCACTTCAAATATTAAATTAAAGGCATTAATTAACCGGTACGAAGCATATTAAAGACAGGGCCAAGGTTCATCCACCACTTCAGTTTATTATTTCTTTTTAAGTTGCGCTGACACATTTGGTGAAAATTAAGATGCTACACTGCCTTGTATGTAGGAAAGTGATTATAATTCAAGGGAAACAGTAAATGCCTTTATTGATTTCATGTAAAAAAGAAGGCACTAACAATCTGGATAGCGGAATTATGCGTGTGGAAACATCATTTTGAAAGGCGGTAAAGCGGAAATGAAAGGAGTTAATTTAGTTTATTTTCGTAAATAGAAGAAAACTACAGTTAATGATTAGGAATACCTACAGTATTCCTTTTGCCGCAGTAGATGTTAGTTTTTGAAATACCGAAAAAAATTGATCATTCTCCGTATTGCAAGTTAGTATTTCCATGAGAGTTTATAATGCCATTTCTTTAATGTTTCTTTAACACTGCTCTTGATTTGGAAATGTCAGAAACAAATCAGTTCAACAAGATATGAATTCGGAGAAAATCAATAACAACTTAATATAGTCAGAACAACAAGATTTGTACTTCCGCATTCGAATGTGGAAAGCATTTCACCCTGCGACAAACAAGAGCGTGAATATCCTAAGTGAACCTCACATTTATAAGTGACATTATATTCATGACATTTAGAATCTGTTCAATAGTAGGCATAGGTCAGCGATTGGAAATGCCACTTTCATTTAGTCTTCCAACCCAGACCCAGGCTATGGGACTGACAACGATTTTCTAGCTTACGAGAGTCGATTAGCTTGCACCTCTAGTGAAATCTCAGCAATGCTCGTGCTGACTTTACATCACTGACCACCATTTTCCGTGGTTGTCACTTCAATTATGAGAACCAAGAAACCAAGGCAAAACTATGTCAATAAATCGATTTCGCTTACAAAATATAGGCTCTAAATTAAGTATTAATTGCTACAGAGTTAAGGTAAGTGAGTGTGTGTGTGCGTTTGTGGGCACCTTAGGTGGGAAAAAGTCTCAGGTCGGTAAGCCGTTTTATCTGTCAAGGTGAATTAGAATGCAGAGGAAAGGGTGGTGGTGGTGAAATTGGACTGTTAAAGCATAAAAGTAATGCACTGACCTTTGTGCTCGCCATATCTGAAACAGGTCGTTTAGTTTGAATATTTTCCAGCTGAGCCAGGCACCATTCCAACTCCTTCTTTGTTGTATCCGCGAGAAGTTCATAGGTTTCAGCTACACGGCAGAAAGGAAAATGCACTCGTTTAAGAAGTTCGGGCATTTTTTAATAGCATCACTTTTCAATGAGTTGGAAATAAACAAAATTTTTTATATAACTGTTTGGTTGGCCTGCCAACACTGCTATATTAAATACCAGTTGAAGGAATGCATTCATATGCCAAAATTTCTAAGTGGGTGTGCTATTTTTTAATGGTAATATTTAGATCCAGGTTTGAATGAATTCCAGATAAGAGCGAATGTGTTCATAAAATTTTCATGCATAGCACATTATGAACTATGACTATTTTATTGGGCATTCAAAATACTATTTCGAAAAAAAGTTCCGCTTGGAAGATCCGAATGCATGGAATAGGCATTCCCGACATTCCGAGTAGAATTCATTCTGGTTAAATCTGAATTGTACTTTTACTGTTCTTCTGTGATTATGCTCCGATGTGAAGTCTTGCAGTCAATTAGTTCCACTGGAGAGAAGATACCTTGGGTTTCACGTTATCAACCTTCTTCCTACCTTGTCTGAGCATGGGTTACAAATGAATGTTGGGAGAAGGGTGGCGGTTTAACTTCAAGGTGAGACTAAAGGCTAAGACACTTTGAAGATCAAAATATTGTCCACGAGTTCAATGCATTATTTTGGTAAAAACGCATTCACTGATACCGCTTTCAATTACTTTAAGGGTAAATAATTACCATTCCGGTTTATTTTATGGAATTATCTACACTGATAGTTCAAAAGTGGCCAGATAACGGTTTTCCCCTAGTACTGTCTCTGGTTTAAATCGCTTTAAATATTTTCAGTTCAACTTGTTATTGGTTATTTAGTAAGAAATTGATATATATATATATATATATATATATATATACATAATGTGGCCTAACCAATTAAGTTAATACGAGAGCAATAAGTTCTAGTTAACTAGGAAATGAATGCACTTAGGAGTTTAGAGGTCCATTTCAAAAGAGTGAAATTGGGATTTCGGTGAGGTTCACATTGAACAGTGTCTGAATCGGTAACAATCTAATGAATCTGGAACTCAAATGCAAGAAGGATTCTTCGTTTTCTGAGTCTAATCACTCTCTGTCTCTCTCTTTCTCTTCACATTTAATTTCCGCATATTTTGACACTTTCTCGGGTGACAAGAACTACAATGATGATGATAATAATAATAATATATATTGGATATAAATTATTATGAAACTCCTCCAGCAAAGTAATTAGCATTTTCTTAAAATCACGCCATATAAAGATTTGCTAGGCGCCTTAACACAAAGGAAAAGCGAAACTAACAAGGCGTTCGACTGCTGGTAATATTTTTGCTTACACCGAGGTGAAAAGTAACTCACCTGAGTCAGGAGAAGAGAGATCTTTATCACCGCCTGAAGTGCGAGAACTTTCCAAATCGACACTAAAATAAGGAAAAGGAAAAATGAACAATTCGCACATTTTAAAAATAGAATTCTTAAACCTCGCACCGTTACCGTTAAGAAATGAAAGTGATTTGCAGTGTCATAACCCGCCATTAAAGTATATTTAACAATACCCCATGACCACTGAAATCTGTGAACAGAAATTAGCCCAGTAATTCAGATGAATTTCGGAATGTGAACTACTAATTAAGTAAGCAGTGTACTAGTTGAAGTCCTGAATGTCTAGCCTGCTTTAGAATTTGATTCTATTCTTAACATTCTTTAAAATCACCTGCCTTTTATGACTTAGAAGACCTTCTGTGTTTACAAATTTTAATTCCTTCTCTAAAATTAAAAAATTGAAAATTGACTTGCTCTCCAATCGGTTTCAATAAAACGACCCGGTTTCTTGAGAGACCGGGGAAACATTTTTTTAAATAATTAGCAAAACATTCACACGAATACGACACACTATCCCTAATTTGAATTTGTGAAATGTCGAAAATTTTTTACCTCTTTGTTTAGACACCGTAATTTCCCAACGATTATTTTTACTCGCAAAGAAACTCAGTTGTCGAAACATTCGGAATTCTGCTTCGCGTGAATTTTGTACTGCTATTTACATACAGCCCATAACAAACTCTTAGTTATGATGGAAATTTTCATGAATTTTGGTTGGTTGCGACAAACACCATGTAACATTTATTACTAGTATAACCTTAAAAAGTTAATCGCAATGTTCAATGTTTACGGAGCACAAACCATAAACTTATTCGATTTATTTCCAACTAACTACACAACATATGACAAATATAAAAATGAGGATTAATGTCATCACACTGCCTTGTAAAATTAGACATTTTAAATTAAATGAATTTTTCAGCGTTTGACTTTTTGGGTTCGCCATTGCGTTTAAAGAGGAGGAGATAATATCTGACCAATCGTCTGTCTTGCTCAGTAAGAGGTCAGTTATGCTAATTAATTTTGGGGTGGCACTCTAACATGTTAGTGAGTTCCGTTGAAGTGGCTAGGTGTTTAGGAAATTGCGTAAAATAATAGTTTCGCTAAGAAATGTTGCTTTCAACGACTTTCAGATCTAAGCCATCAAAACTAAACTCTGACTGTAGTCACGGCTTACAATATGATCCACAATCCAAGAGCAAACAGGCTCTTTGCTTCCTAGAGACGAATAATTAATTTCCTTGTAAACTTTGACAAGAAATTGGGCGGATCTTATTACTACCGTAATCGAGTAATTGTAGAGCTTTGATTTATATGCATAGCTAAATGTAGGATTCGCGTATTTACATTAAAATTAGATAAGAGATAGAATATGTGCTTCCCTTTAAAGCGTAAATAAAGATATTTGAGCTGAGAGCAGTTCTATAATAAAGTCAAACAAAAACACTTAGGAAATAACTTAAAAGATCTAAAATTATTATAAATCATAATAATGCGGACGCATGAAATTTACTACGAGCTTGAATTTAGTTGTACCACGAATGTACTCATGCATTACAACTTGAAAAGTTAATTTGCTAAAATGTGAGAAATATTAACTTCAAAATGATTCTCACGGCATAGAAAAAAAACATCTCTTTGCCAGGCCTCAGAGTCAACTAAAACAAAATGAATTTCAACTTTCGAATGTCCACAGGGAAAGCAATAAAATACGGCTTGCATTCTACGACACAAAATACAATTTAAAATATTACATTTTTAGACAGTCAGCGCAATTTTTTAACTAGCGTTCGGCTGATTTTAATAAAGTTGTCTCTTTTTTTATTTAAAAACTGCGAATTAAAATCACGCAGCTAGCTAAATTCTATAATTCAGTTTAGCAACCTCATTTTCATAGAAACAAGGAAAATCATTTGTTACTACGAAGATTACTAGTTTATTGATTTCTTCCATATTATAATACAAAACAAACCAACGTAACTAAGTTAAATTGAACCTCTTTTTGCCTTTATTTATTTCCAACTTGTCAGTTTCTTGCGTAACTAACTGCACTTTATTTCGCACCCAATTTTTCCCGAATGCGTTATCTCTCTCTCAAAAGTCGAATAGGAAGTTTTCAGTATTACTTCAGAAAGAAAAAAGTGACCTGGAATTATTTGATCTGAAATTATCCAAAAATGTTGCCAAGGTAGCATAAAGCCACCACCAATTTGTGGCAGGCTTTGCGAGAAGTGTTAACAAAAGACCTGGCTGCAGGACAATTTAAGAGCAGTTCACGGGGTTTTAGACAGAAATAAATACCAGGAACGAATAAAGGCACTAAAATGAACTATCATGCTCGAGTGCGTGATCACACAAAGTTACACTAATAATAAGCATGAGGAGATGCCCAGATATGCCTTTAATGAATACTTAAATTGTTCCACCCCCCCCCTCCCCGCCAACAGAAAAGGCGAGTCATTTAAGGAAGAAGAGAGGCACAATATCGCTTTATATCATTGACTAGCAGGAGGGGGGGGGAGAGGGGGGGCAGAAAGGGGTAGTTAACATTTAAGGGATAAAAATTTACTGTCGCTTGATTTAACTCTGCGTACCTGTGATTAAAAATTGTGCGTATGCCCCTATAGTGATGTTTTAGATAGATGCCTGGATTAAAAGGAGATTTGCTGGTCAGATTAGGGGATCTTTTAAGACCCTCCTCCACCCTCTTTGCCGACCGTGTTAGAAGATGTGCACCGTACATACAACAGAAGTGCAAATCGACTGCACGTGACCAACCATACATTATGACTTGTCTTTTAATAAGGTGAAAGGTCTTTTGGTGTTTGGCTGATTTATTGACCAACTAGACTGGTTAATACGGATTAAGAAAAGAAATTTCTAGAATACATTTTACAAAACTTCCCAAAAAAGAATGATAATTACCTATAATTGACACGTTACACAAAACTATACGGAGAAGAATTTACAGATCGATAGTTATTAAAAGAAATCAATATTTGATTTACTGTTAGCCTTGCTCCGCAAACCGAACGATAAGCCATACTATTGCTCCTTCTTAAAGGATAATAATTGCGATTATTCAAATATTTGATAACCTGTCAACAAGCTCCGGACATGAGACGCGAAGATACAACGACCTGATTTTGGATAGCCTAAGATTTCACTCCCTCACATCCACTGCGCCCCCCCCCATAGCGTAATTTAACTAACCCCTAGTTTAAGTTACATATCCACGCAGAAAGAACATATTCCAGTTAAAATTGGTTAAACTAGCTTAATTCGCATATTTAAAATTTACTTCTTGTTACAGTTTTCATATGGAAAAATGTACGTCTTGTTTTATTAATTTAGCTATCAATCGCAACAAGATATCTTCAAGTAGTTTGTAGCATGAAATTTCAAAAGTCGGCAGTGTGACAATTATTCTTTTTTTTCTTTATAGACCCAATTTTACAGTTAATGTTTGAGTGCTCGAAAATGTGAAGTCTATTGCTCAACTAGGCTACAAAGGGATGAGCTGACCGCATTGTCAATAATCACTTCACTTTAAATGAAAGCACAATCAATCAAGACAGTTCTATCCACCAATACTATAGCAATGACCTTGAAAACAATATGCATTTGTAGGTTACATATTTTTTTTAAGAAAGATATGCAAAGGGAGTAGAATCGAATTATACGCGAGGAAGCAAACAAAGTATTAGATGAATGAAATAAACTACGTGTATCTCAATTAATGATTTTTAGACCAATGCAACCAAATACCATGAAACTTTAAACTCATCATAATTACAGTGAAATCGTGCAAGTTATGATAAAGCTAAAGACACTATAATGCCCTTATTAAATGGTTATACATTGAGATTCATGTTTTACGTTAATATTTGATTGTTTGATTAAAGGAGATTAAGAAAAAGTAAATAAAAACGATGGTCCACTGAAAGTTGTCCATAAAATTATAATTTAATATATAAAGAAAAGATGCAAGAATCTAATCAATCCGTATCATCATTTGATAAGGAGCTAAAATGATGTAAAAGAGGAAATAATCTCCTTTGTTAAAAGTCAAAATAACTAAGTACAGAGTTTTAATTTATTGCCTAAAATTTGGTGGCGAGGGGGGACATTTATGATGAATCTATACTTATTAACCATAAAACAAAGAAAATGTTTCACGTTTGATCGTAGAAAGGCCTCTTAGCACGTGAAATAGTAAAAGAGTATCGACAATTTTCACAGCTCACAAAAAGTTGACAAAAAAAGTTGGTAAATGTTTAATAAATCGTGCGCTATCGACCACATGCTCGAACGAAGTAAGTGATCATACAGTCTCTCTTCAAACACTTTGCTCTATTGGACGTATTTCGTTAATTATTTTGTGCATTCAAGACTGCTTTGTGAATTGGGGAGATAATATTTACCCAAAATGATCTTCGAAGTAAAAATTTATAAGGCAGATTTCGCTGTTATATCTGGAAGTTAGGTAACTTATTCTCCTATTCGGATCTATTATACAAATGGTCTGTCTAAACTGAGCTTCTTAAAAGGAAAGAAATTGTGGACGAACACTTCTATACTCCGAGTCAACTGAACAACTTGGTTACCGTTAACAGGCTGTACTGATCGGAAGAAATTATTTTTAAATACGAATTCTTGCATTAGTGCCTTGCAGTGGAGAAATAAGAAATCAATGTGAATTTCTCTTGACCTCATCGTACTTCGAGGTCGGCATTTTTAGCATAATTTCAAATGTTATGACCCATAGCATGATCATGAATACTTAAGGGGGAAAATTCAAATCGATAAATTCTCGTTTTTCACGAATTAAATTATAAGCAAAATTAAAAACAGGGAGCTTTGATAATACGAAATTAAAACGAATTCACTAATTTCATATATTGTCTTCAATATGTTCACAATTTACATTTGATTAAAAAATTGAGTTATTAAATTAATTGAAATTGAAGCTAGATTCATGTGCTCAACAAAAATAAGTAAAAGCGTGTATAAAATAGGCTGAGGTGGAGGTTATGTTCAATTAATCCAAAGCTACTTACATAGATTTAGAAGACTGTTTCTGGGCAGTAAGAAAGGCGATATTCGATTGTACAGATCTTAGACCAGCTAGAATCTGGGCAAATGGTGTAACAATAACCGATTCATCCAGGAACTTCTCTTTAATTCCATGACTATCAGTAACAAAGGGACTAGGCGTTCCAACGGTTTGGGATACAGGTGAGGCTAACTTTGAAGTCTCCAATGGCTGGTTGTTTAAAATGCTAGATGGAAGTGGCCGACCTGATCGAACTAGAAGTGAGCCCCTTCGAAGCATAATGGAATTGTGGCCCGGATAAATCCGACCCGAGGAACGAACAGATTTAGATCCGAAAAAAGTGGGGAAAGTTCGATTGGGTGAACATACTGACTCTACGTTTGTGGGACTAATTCCGCTTTCTATGTCGAGCGAATGATTGCGTTCATAATAATCCTCCTTATTCATACGACTACCCTCTCTCATTGTTGGAGGATTATCGAGGTCAAAGGTTACTGGAGGTCGGGTGGATTTTATGGACTCACGGGGGATGGAATTTCTGATTGCTTCTGCTTCATCGGCCTCAGGTTTAGCTAATGTTGGGGATTTGGCAACCTCGGTATCATCCATACTCTCGCCCAGAGTTGTAGAACGGCGGTTAGAGGAAGCAGTAGTGGACCCACTTTGTCTCTTCCAAGGCCAATGGAGTTTACTAAAAGGCTTTTCTCCAGTACATCCACAAAGATTTGGCATTTTTGGCAAAACACGAAGATAGATAATTCCTTATTGATAGTGTAAAATAGAAGTGTGATTGGGAAAGAGAGGATATCTTATTTTCAGACGGGCATGAGAAAGATGAATTGCGCGTGTAACTATCTGCACAGATAAAGCTGCTATACACTTGCACGCATAATACCAAAAGCCATGTAACAGTACCAAGTTGGCTTGTCAGCGGTACACACCACGCGCATAAGAGGGAGGCAGGACACACGCGGCTAGACACGCAAAGGCATGTGCGTTGTGCGTGTAGCTATACGTTGCCTTACCATTGGCAGATTCTAACCAATTAATTAAAGGCAGGTTATGGTTGGTTGGTGTAGAAACCAATGGCGTGACAAGGATGTTTATTAGCTGACGTAAATATTTGTGTCCGAAACGAACATTTTCTTTCCCAAACCTTAAAGAAATTCGTGTTAATTAGGAAGAAAGAGAAACATTTAGCTTTTCAAGACTGAATATCTATTCTAATTGGGCTTACGAAATATTTTTCGATTCGATTCATCAAAGGTGAGAAAGAATAACCTCTAAGATGTGAGAAATCGAAAGTGAATAAAATTGATATCGATGCTGCCTTAATCAAGTTAGTGTCACAAAAATGTTTATGACGATTACTTTTTATTTATGATCAAAATTAAAACATACTCACAACAGTTCATAACTATATTGCTCTTGTCTGACTCAGTTTTTTTTCAAATTTTCAAACTTAATAGACTCTTTTTTAGCCAGTTTGGTGAAAGCTTAGATTTCCACTTACTTATAGAAGCACTTGACGATTTTCAGTTAATTCTACTAATAACTCCAAGATCACCACATTCTCATGAAGTATTTGACAGAAATCACATATATTCAAATCAAATGTCTTTGAATTAGTCGACGCAATATTTGCCAGCTGCACGCTTTTAAGCAAACAAAGTCTTAAATGAGATTAAAATTTGCTTGTAGAAATCTTACTGTTCTCTTTAGTAAAATTGAGATTCTTCAAATTTGGCCATTTGCGTAAGCAATTTTAAAAGAATGTCAAGGTGCTTTACTGCCATCTAAATTCAATAGTGCCCAAATTATTAGGATCAACATTCCTTACTTGCTGTACAAGTTATCTGATCCTATTTATTCAAAAGCATTTTTTGATTTCAATTTAAAATCGATTTCTATGCATGGTTGTTTTTAGTCTACTTCTTTTAATGTTGAAACTTATGAAAGAAGCTAGGAATTAAAACCAGTAATCCAAATGGCTATATTTTCTCATGAGATTTACAGGAATCACCACATAGGTTAGGTAAGCCAAATTGAAATAGAAATCATTTAAATGAATAATTTAATATAGGATTGTTATAACCTTGGAAAATGTCCACTGGTTATCGTATCGAAATACGTAATATTTAGGCCTGTTTGCGAACTGAGTTCTAATTTTTGCATTCTCACTTTAGTACCGGCTCACAGTACTACTGAGTGATTCCATGCATTGTATTATTGGCTTTGTCATATATATTCAATTGTCTATTTTTGAAATCAAATATTGTTTGTCAAATTGAGATAGCTAACCCAAATTCTCAGTGACATTTCAAGAGCTGTCTTCTCCCATATAAGTACAAAGTTCCTTTTGAGCATTCGTTTGAAGAGTGCCACAAAAAATTTTCTGCGTGAGGTCGATACAATTGTTAATCAAATACCTGAATTTTATGCCATTTTGGTATAATTACAAAAGCAAGTTGAATGCAACAAAAAATTGTTCCATAAATTTACAGTCATTCACTCTAATTTTAATTAAGCCTGACAATAAAAAGGGAGTTATTCGGAACAATAGGAGATTGTTTAGAAAGACGAATTACTCCCAAAATAGTTCACAATTATTTCCAACAAAAGGCTAAATTTTGCCTTCCTTATGGACAAATCATTTATTGATGGAATGCTTACACAAATGCATTAAATTTACGACACCTCGATCCGTAAACTGTCAAAGGGGCACCTCCTAAACCTGTGCTATTTGCACCGCAAAGAAAATATACAATTGATTTGACTTTCGTGGAATAGGAACACAGTCATATATAAGTAATTTCGACTCTTATTTCAAAGCTATTTTAGGCTTGGTGTGCAAGAATAAAGCGTAGACCACAGAGCTTTATCGCTATTGCACACAAAAGTAAATTTGCATTATCAATTATTTCATACTAAACTTTAAGAAATTCATTGGGAAGCACGATTTTAGCCCTTTTCTTAATGGACATTAGTCCTTGACACTGTACAATAGTGTTAGTGCATTATTTAGTTAAGATCGAATGTTGAAAATAGAAAGCAGAAATGGTAAAACAATTACAAATATTGTCAGAACTGGATTGGTCAAATTGTGAAATAATCTAATTCGCCCCCCCCCCCTTAGAAGGCATAAAATAAGTTACTATTCTCATTTCAGGAAAAAAGTTAAGAATATCAGTTCACATAATTGCAATTTTAAGGCGATGGAAGGAGAGAACAAACCCCTTGCATTAACTTTGATTTTCGTGCTTTGAATGATTACTATTCATATCGCTAGGCGGAATAAAAGGTTGAATTTTACCACTGTGACAAAATTAACTAGATGAGTTATGAATCAAAGTCTTGGTGTACCTGAAAACGAAAAAAATTCCAAGTTGCATGAATTTAAATTTCTTTATATTTAAGCTGAGAGAATTCCTTACATTCTTTAAACCTGCTAAAGAGCCATATTAAGAAATGGTATTTATTCAATCATTTGAAAATTCACGCATTTCAAAGCTGTACGATGTTTAGGGGGGAATAAGTTGGATTTTATACCCTCACATTACCCAGTGAATTTTTCCGTGGCAAATATGAAGCTAAGGGAACAACTAAATGAGCGTCTTTTATTTCCTTTTCCACACTCATCATTATCCAATAGGAGCTGGATGCCAGCATAAGAGACAAGTAACTGCTCCAAGAATGAATTGATAATTTTTAACAACGTAGATCGATGCCCTACGTGCCCAAACTTCAAGGCTACATGTTTTCTATTTTATGCTTCATTTCCGCTGTGAGGGTGGAAGTCATTAAGGCAAAGAATAGGTGCACAGTTGGCCAATCAAGTTCCGCTGTTTACTTTCAAGTGAAGCAATAATCAGTTCTAATTACCTTAGACAATTCTTCATTGTGTTTATCAAATGAACAGTCATAAACGGAACCTAGAGTGGAAGCTTATATATGCACTCTTGACTTATCGAATTAGCTCGATATTCGACCAATAGTCGTAAGAGTTTAGTGACGAGACACTATCATCGGAGGTGAATATGGAAGAAAAGTAAACGAAAAATCAAGGTTTAGAAAGTGGTTTTTGTGGATATTTATCCTTTTCCGTGGGGCGCGCGATAGACTTACCTCCACGCGGTGCACCCTGGACAACGTATCTTCGTACGGCAAAAAAGTCTATCACTCGGCGTTTGATCTGACTTCGATTTACTATAATTAGCTTAAAAAAAATGCTATAAGAGAAATTGCCCTCGTCAGGGCGAATCACAACGTCTTCAGAGCCTCCAGTGGGATGCTGGAGGGATGTCACAGGACAAAAAGATCCATGTCCAGAAAATCCTACAAACCTATGATGTAGACCTTTTCACATCCCCCCCCCCTTTTGATGGATCTCCCTTCTGTTGAGCTCGAAGTCAGCTAAAAGGCTACTGATAACTATCAAAATGCCTGCCATTTGCGAGAA